CTAATTAATTTGTAAGATTACAAATACACAGAGCCCTGTGTATTAGTTTTCTATTGCTGCTGTAACAAATTACCACAAACTTAGTGGCTTAAAATGACACAGATGTATTATCTTATAGTTCTGTAGGTCAGAAGTCCAACACAGTCTCACAGGGCTAAGCTCAAGGTGTCAGCAGTGCTGTGTCCCCTTCTGGTGGTCTAGGATAGAATCCATTTCCTTGCGTTTCCCAGCTTCTAGTGGCTGCCCACATTCCTTAGCTCAAGGCACCCTTCTTCCATCTTCAAACCCAGCAACGTTGCATCTCTCTGACCCTTCTTCTGCGGCCACATCTCCCTCTGACCACAGTCAAGAAATAGTCTGTGCTTTTATGGACTCGTGTGATTAGATTGGGCCCACCCAGATAATCTGGGGTACTATCCACATCTCAAGGTCCTTACCCCTAATCATATTTACAAAGTCTCTTTTGCCACGTATGGTCCATAGTCATCGGTTCTAGGGGGATTAGTCATGGACATCTTTAGGGGCTGTTACCCTACCCACCACACCCTGTTGTATATACTTCTTTGTATTACAGCGTATGAGCCTCATACCATGTTGACAATAGATGGAAAAAGATGTACTGTACAAACACTAACAACAACAACAACGACAGCTAATACTGGGGTATCTGTACTTCAGACAAAGTAGACTTAACAGGGGAAAACATTATTAGAGATAAAGAGGGGTTTTTCAAAATTATAAAAAGAGCAATCTTCCAGAAAATTATAATGCTTCTAAGTTTGTAAGCACTTAATAATATAGTGTCAAAATGTGTGAAGCAAAAAATGAGAGCACTAAAAGGAGAAATAAACAAATTCTCAATCATAGTGAGAGATTTTTAACAGAACCCTCCCAATAACAGATAGAACAAGCAAGCAAACCAAAAGTCATCACAAATAAAAAAAGATCTGAATCTCATAGTGAGCAAACTGTGACATATATGATACAGAGGTCACTGCACCCAACAACTTGAGAATATGTGCTGTTTTCAAGAGAGAACGGAACATTTAGCAATTTAGCAGAGTCACTGGATAGAAGGTCAATATGCCAAAAAGTCAATTGAATTTTTATATACCAGGAACAAACATTCAGAATATGAAATGTATTTTAAAATATTGTTTATAATAGGTTCAAAAAAGATCAACCAACTAGGAGTAAACCTAAGAAAAGGTGTAAGACTTCTACACAGAAAATCATAAGACATTGTCAAGAGAAAAATTTTAAAAACCTAAATGAACCTTGGGATCCACCACACTCATGACTTGTAAGCCTCAATATTTTAAGACACCAATACTCCCAAACTGATCCCTGGAGTCACTACTATCCTAATCAATATCCCAGCAGCTATTTTGTGAAACTTGACGAGCTGATTCTGATCCTAAAATGTATATTGAAAATGCAAAAGGCCAATAATGATTAAATCAATCTTGAAGATCACGAAGTTGGGGATTTACACAATTAGATAGAAAAACTTATAAATCTACAGTAATTAAGACAGTGTGGTATTAGCACAAGGATAGACAAGTAGACCAGAGGACAGAATAGAAACTCTAGAGCAGGCTGTCCAATGCAGTAGCCACTAGCCACATGTGGCAATTTAAGTTTAAATTAATTAAAATTAAATTAAAAACTCAGTTCCTCAGTTGCGCTAGGCACATTTCATGTGCTCAGTAGCCACATGTGACTAGTGGCTGCTGCATTGGACAGTGCAGATTAGAACATCTCCATCACTGCAGAAAGTTCTATTGGAATGTGCTGCTCTAGAGACAGACTCACCACATGTGGAAATACGATTTTTGACAAAGATGTCACTGGAGATGAGTGGAAGAGAACTGTCTTTTCAATAAATGGTGCCTTCCGTTGATAGCCATATTTTAAAAATGAATCTTGATTTCTACGTCACTTCATACACAGAAATCAATCCCTGGTGGGTTCTAAGTCTAAATGTGAGCGGTTGTGGAATTTTCATGCAATGGAATACTAGCCAGCAATGAAAATGCATGAGGTGCTGGGAACAGACTGAACCTCAACACCAAGGGTGAATCTCACAAACATTATGTTGATCAGATAGAGGCAGAAATGAAAGAGGACGTGCTGTGTGGTTTCCATTTATACAAAGTTCAGAAGCAGGCAAAAAAATCTCTACTGTTTAAAGTTAGGATGGCAGTTACCCCCGGGAGGGGAGGGTAGTAACTGGAGGCTGCAAACGTGGGTTTCTGAAGTCCTAGTAATGTTCTTTCTTGAGTGCAGGGGAGAGTCCACTCTTCATCAAGTGTGATTTGTGCTCTTTATAGGTGTTATTTAAAAATTGTTAATTGTTGCAAAGATTGTTAAGTCTGAAAGTATCAGGTATAGGATATGGAGAAATGGGGAGATGACTGGTAGGAGGGCCAACTAGCATGTGTTATAAAGTTGGAAGTGTGTGTGCCTTGCAACTGGACAGTTCTACTTCTAGACACACACACTAGAGAAACTCTTGCACATGTGCACAAGGAGATGTGGGCAACCATGTTTGTTGCAGGATATCTTATAATAGCAAAAAAAAAAAAATTAAAGCAGCCTAGATGCCCATCAACAGGGGAATGGATAAATAAAATGTGATATTTTTATGTAGTGAAAAATTAAACAGTTAAAAGAAATATATGTACATTTATTATCACAGAACTCTAAAAATACTATAGTGGATGAAAAAGTAGCTTACAGAATATGTATAGCATAACACAGACGTACATCTTTAAAGTATAGACAGTACTATATATTATTCCTTGACACACATATATGTTACTGAATTTTAAAGTGGCTGAAGGAAACTCTGTACACTGAAGTCATGACAGCAGCAGCTTCGCGGGGAGTGGATGAAGGGACTGGGATTGAGGATGGGGACAAAGGAGACTGTCACTTCATCCTCATGGCCCTGTTTCTTTTATTTTTTAAAAAAAGCAAATATGACAAAATGTTAACATCTGTTCATTCTGGGTGACGGCTCAGAGTGTTAGCCATATTATTCTTTGTAAATTTCTCTTTGTTTAATTCCTCAAAATGAAAAAAAATAACGTTGAGATAACAGCATCTTTCATCATTTAGTCTTCAACTTATTTATTGTTTAGGTATTTTATGTTCCTATTTGTTTTAAGAAAAAATGTGTATAAGTATAGCTGAGATAGCTAAATTTCCTTTTTTTGTGTCTGTTCACAAAGCATAGTTATTTTATTTAACATTCTTTGGTATCAAAACATGGCCTTTCTACAGACTTGTGAGGAGTAGGTCATGAGGGCGCGCAGTTCTACCATAGTCTGTAAATGGAGAATGCACTTCCTGTGATAGACGTCCTCATGTGCCTCAGTCACTAGGAGCATCTGTTTGTACCGGAGCCAAAATGGCCACAAGCAAACAGAGAAACGAGAAGTCGAAAAGATTTCCCCCTGGTGCTAATGATTTGTTGGTACGTGATTGTTAAGACTGAAGGTCTGAAACACCAGTGTTTACTGGCTCAGTCTCCAGTCTGTCTCTCCAGGGTCATTTCCACAAGAGTGACAAAAGAATGGGACCCTGCCTTTCCCACCACTGACAGTGCTTCCTGCATTAAACCCTGAGCAGCACAGAAGTCCCCTCTGGCAGGGAGGAGGCTGCTCTCCAGGTCCTTTGTAACGGGAAGACACACAGACGCCGTGGTGGAGAGTGCACTCTTCCAGACACATCACACACACGGCTGTTCATCACTGTCAGGTAGTCTAGCAGCCTTTGGAAGTGCACCCAAGGTGACTGCTGTGACCATATTTGAAAAGTTAACAGATAAACGTGGACTTTAAATATTATACAGTTAGATCCTAAGTTGAGGCTTTTAAACGTGCACAGGGAGGAGTTGCCCTAACAGATCCCCCAGGGTCTTCAACTAGAGTAGAACTCAGGTCTCTCTTGCTGCACCTTATTTGCTCCTCGCCACCAGGGGTGAAGGAGGGAGGTATCCAGAAGACAGAACTGAGCATGCTCAATTCAGACCCCTTTGTCTGTCTAGTTTCGGAGCCAGCCTGTCCTCAGGATATATGTCAGACTCTGGTCTGCTCTCAGCTGTGCGCTCTGAGGGAGCCCAGGCGGGGTCCAGCAAGATCAGTGATGGGTGCTTTAGTCTTTCTAAGTCAAGGGTCAGTTATTAGCAAGGCTTCTGCCATAGATCTGAAGCTATGCTCTCTGCAATCAATTTTATCAGTAACAAAAGCAATATTTTTAGCTCCATCTGTTTGGCCTCTGTGGTTCCAGACTCAAGAGGGGAAGGGGGGGCAGGTTTTATTAATTGCTGCCATCAAAAACCTGATGATCAATTAATATAAGACCTCAGATGATAAATTAATGTAATCCATGATACCAACCAATAATTTGTATATCAGATTCATTCTTACACCCATAATTATCCTGTCAGAATAGTTAACTGAACGTTGCTCACTTACTTTTAGATTTCGTAAGTATGGTTAAAAAAATAAATATATGTACTATTTATCGTGGCATGCTTGAATTCTCATAGCTTGAGATAGACTCCATTAAAACGTACATTTTATAATATATTATCTACACAAGTATATATATATACACACAGAAAATGTATTTATTTAATTAAGTCATTTAGCAGCAAAAACAAAACACACAAAAAACAACCCACTGTGCTGTAACACTGTTCTGCATGTGGCCAGCTATACATTGGCAGAACATGGTGATTTTTGAGGATGAATTAGTGTTCTAATCTCTCTGAGATTTCCTTTATATTTGTGGTGGTTTATGACTGACGTTTAAGGTAACTGTAGCTTTCTGTTAATATTTAATAGAAGATTCATTTCTGTGGCAGGATACACATTTACTCTCCAGCGTTGAATAAAAGCTACTGCTCTGCAAGAAGGACATAAAATGTTGATTTATAACAACACATTCCAATAACAGTGATCTAATTCTTCCAAACCATTTCTTCGCAGGTCCTGGGAAGAGCATGTCTCCAGAAAAGTATGATTCTTCTCTTCCAGAATATTCGGCCTTCAACACATCTATCCATGCTGCAATCAGACACAGGAACTGGAAACTCCTCACTGGCTACCCAGGTAGGATGCTTACATTTCCCACCAGAACATGAAGGAGATCTTACCAAAAACAACTGCCTTTTGCAAAACATATCTCTGGGGCTGTGGAATGAGGCAGCCGAATGAGGAGGAGTGGTGTAATCTACTGGTCCTGGCCAAAAAAAATTTGAGAATTAACTGTAGGGAGGAGTGAAAGGAAGAAATGCCACTCTAATGCTTCATAAAAAATAGGGATTTCAGGTATGTGTGGCTATCAAGCACAGCACAGCTAGCTAGCAAAGAGAATCTCTGAAAGCTACATCCTCAACCAGTGGTGCAGCTGCCAGAGGAGGTTGCTTCCTCTGAACGCATTCTCTAAAAGTAACATCTTTTAAATACTTTTTAAGTATGTGGTATGATGGTTAAGCCTGTGATGCAATTAAACAGTGATTAAAATGAAGACATTCTTGGCATCTGCAGCAAGACAATTCTTCATTGTTTGGGACTATCCCATGTGTTGCAAGACATTTTAGCATCCCTGGCCCATGACAACTAAATGCTAGTAGCACCCCCCAAGTCACTGTGACAACTAAAATCCCTCCCCCCACATACATGTGCATACATGCACATTCCTGGACGCCCCTGGTTGGGAAGCAGTGAGACATGTCTAGTTAAAGCTCCAGAAGTCAGAGTCTGAGACAGGTCTAGACACAGCATCAAGGGCCACATCTTTTTTATGTGTCCGTGCCCACAACCCTGCTCACCCTTGTCCCCCAGACTCCTTCCTCAAAGTCAGAACCTGCCTACCATGCTCCTTCCCCATATAAACTGTTATATTTCTTCGCCAGGCTGTGGTTACTGGTTCCCTCCACCATCTCAGTACAATGGTTCTGCGATACCCCCACTAGACCCACCGACCAAGACCTTCTGGCTCTTTGATATTGATCGGGACCCAGAAGAAAGACATGACCTGTCGAGAGAATATCCTCATGTCGTCCAGCAGCTCCTCTCCCGTCTGCAGTTCTACCACAAACACTCAGTGCCCGTGTACTTCCCGGCACAAGACCCCCGCTGTGACCCCAAGAGCACTGGGGCTTGGGGCCCTTGGATGTAGGATGTCAGGCGGCCTGGGGAGCAGGAAAACCTCTCTGTTGCAAGTTGGACGTCAGGCCTTTTCTTGTGTGACTCTTTTCTCATTTGTTCTCCCCACCTGTGTTCATCCAGCCTTTCTCTCATTCCTAAACCACATGAGGTGTCTAATTTCAACCCCTAGTGCATGTAAGAAGCTGATAAAATCTGGAACACTCCTGCTGCTGGCTGGGGCATGTGTCTAGAGGAGAGGGTGACTGGGTTCATCCCCTTTTTCCTGAGCTCTGGGGCAGCTGGAACTTGATTTAAAATAGGAAGTTATTGAGTCCTGGCGGCTGGAGCAGCTGGCTCTTTTTGTCTCACAAGTCAGATGTTAGATTCCCCTCTGCCCATAGCCAGGTTTTATTGGAGTGACTCACATTTTTTGTAACAAATGAAGGGAGCAGACAATTGTTAATGGTTCTGTTGGCCGCAGGCTCTCCCTTTCTGTGAGAGATTGTGTTCAGGCATTCCATGTGAGTAACCCGCCTCAGTTCACCCCTCACTGCCTCATCTCGTTCCTCACCTTGTCACTCATCCGTCACGGAGCATGAGGCCCATTTCGTTGTTAAGGTCAGCATGGCAATATGCCTACTCCTTGGTTTTGGTTTTTACAATAAAGAAATGTGTTTTTATCCCCAAGTTTTTTCCCAGCTGTTGCTCATTTTATCTAGACCTCCTGCTGCCCCCCACCCCCTATGGCTCTTTTCCTTCCCTTCCTTTTGACTCAGGCGTTCTGTGCCTGGGAATGCGGCTTTGCTTCTCCGTCACAAGCACCACTGATTTTTGGAACACTGCTGAGCCCTGCCTGCCTTTTGCCCCAAACACTGAAGCTAGAGCCCTGCCCAGAGAAGGTGGTTGAGTATGGCTCTGTGAGCCTGCTCACAGTGGACACGAAGAGGGCTGGGTGGGGATGCCTGGGTCTGTGTCGTCTGTTTGGGGAGGTGTTTTCTAGTGGAGTGGAGTTTATTATCATGAAGGCGGCTTTGTCTCATAATATATTGAGTTGCACTGCTGTTCCCTAGCAGTGAGGAGAAGCCTTGGGAAGGATAACGTTGTCGTCAGGTGATGGAAAGGGCGGTATGGAAAAGGAAATGGCCAGCATCTGGGATACTGGGCCCTGGTAAAGCAAAGGAGGGCACATCCACATTTCTCTCATTCTCTCAGTTTCACTGCTTGTGTTGAGGTTCTGGGGGCAGGGAAAGGAGATGCACAGAAGGACCTGCCAGCCCTTTCTCATTCCCACTAACATCTTACTGATACAGATCAGTCCAGATTAGCTCCAAAGAGTGTCAAACTTGGAGAAATATGTGCAAAAACTTTACTTTTTTTGTGCATTAGTTCCATTCGTTCCTTCACTGCTTATCACTAGTGCCTAGTACATAGAAGGCACTCAATATACACTTTAAAAATTAATGAATGAATGACAAATGAGTAAATGAGCAAGTCTCACACCACAAAAGGTGCTGGTCCAATGGGCTGGATACAGGGGTAGTATAAATGTCTTCCAACATCTGCTTTTCTGCTCTTGAGCTGCCCTCCTGGGGTAGGAGCACAGTCTGCCTGCGTATCTGAGCAGTCACAAGATGCACCATAGTAAAGTTGTAATGTCCTCTCCAGGGGCGGGGGCATATGCCTACCAAAGGTACTCTTTTGCCAATAATCCTCAGTTCTGTTCTTCATAGGATGCTAGAAACTAAGCCCACCAAATAATAGGATATACGTTCTGGTACAGCCATCCTGCAATTCAGCAGCAATATTTTCTGGTCACTACTAACTTGTATGAAATTATGGTGATTGGAAGGAAGTGGTGCTAGAACTAATGACACCTATTACCAACATGTACCCTACTCCTGGGTTGGCAAACAGCTGGCCAAAATGCTGTTACCTCTCACTCCCAAGCCTGTGGCAGATATTATGAACTAACTGAGCCGAGATGTTCCTTCTGGATCCTTCTAATCCCAGGGCTGTCGGTAGCCATTAATGCTATAAGATTGGAGGCCATCAGTACATGACACCTATTTGCCCTCTCTGCTGTGCTCCCGGCAGCTGTCTCCAATTCCAGTTCCTTGATTGCTGCGTTCAGTCTGGATGTTCTGCACTTGATGGATTTAAAAGGAATTTTCAAGACTAACTTTTTGTAAAACTTTTGAGTCTTTATTGTATCCATCATAGAATGTATCTCATTATATTTTCTTCTTCTGTACAAGAATGTGAACAGATTCATATGTTGTCATTAGGAGTTTCAGTGTTATTTCTTTCTGAATTTGATTGCCTTTAAAGAAGGGTTTCATTTATTTAATTGTTTTTCTTCATTGTTTCTTTGTTACTACACAATTGTTCCAGATTTTGGAGACAAAAAAAAATTAAATTTATCTTTTAAAAATGTGTCAGCCGTGAGTATGAGGTTTCCATTTGGGTGATGAAAAAGTTCTGGGACTAGTTGGTGGTGATGGTTGCACAACATCATTGAATGCACTTAATGCCACTGAATGGTACGCTTTAAAATGGTTAAAACGATAAATTGTAAGTTCTGTAGTTTTTACCACAATTTTAAAAATCTGTCAGCCCATTTTATGGTATGTGAATTATATCTCAATAAGGCTATGAAGTAAATAAATATAGCAAAACTATCAGAGCTAAAAAAAAAATGTGTCAGTCATTTCCCCAAGTATACAAGCTATAAGATAATAGAGGGAGGTCTAGAGAGGGTAGGAGTGAATATAACGTGATATAGGAGAGTGTATTAGTTCTCTATTGCTACATAACAAATTGCCCCCAAATTTAGCAGCTTAAAACAATGAACATTTATTATTCCACCCATTATATGAAGGTCAGGACTCTAGGAATGGTTTAGTTGGGTGGTTCTGGCTCAGCATCTCTCATGAGATTGTAGTCAAGCAGCTGACCAGAGCTGAGTCATCTGAAGGCTTGACTGGGGCTGGAGGATCCACTTGCAAGGTGACTCACTCAAAAGGTTCTTGGCTAGAGGCCTCAGTTGCTTGCCCTGTGGGCCTCTCCATGGGCTGCTTACATATCCTCACAGGTGGCAGTTAACTTCCAGCAGAGCAAGTAATCCAGAGCAAGAGGGAGCTACAGTGCCTTTTAGAATCTGGTCTCTGAAATCCTACACTGTCACTTCCAACTTTTTTCACTTCGTTAAAGAGGAGTCACTAAGTCCAGCCCATACAAGAGGAGGAGAATTAGGCTCCATCTTTTGAGGGAAATGTCAGATTTGTGGACATGTTTGACACCACCCCCGACAACAGAGGAGAAAGGGCAAGTGTGGCCTCCTGGGGAATAGGTTGTCCAATCAAGTCCACTTGCTTCTATCAAATGCTGCTATTTGAAGAGAGAGTAGAAAAAGCATCCAACTTTGCTCTTTAATGGTAGAATGACTATGGAGAAATCATTTAATCCTCTCTGTGCCTCATTTTTTTTCCTGGTGAAGTGATGTGTTGAATTAGATAAAACCTAAAGTCTCTTATATTTCTGGTGTCCAGAATAGTGCCTGAGTATGTAGTAGATGTTCAATAAATGTTGGTTGGTTGACTCTTAACTGACTAAACTCCAGTGCAAGGATGTGAAATAATACTGTGCTAAAAATAGCCTGAGATTGCGCTCAATCTTAAAAAATCATTCATTTTTTAAAAGTATTATAAAAGCTATTCAATCTTAATTGTAAAAAGCTTACTTGGTTTTAACCTCTTCCATTTTTTAAATATTCAGTCTTTTTCCAAGCATAACATTACTTAAATGAAGAAAATAAAAAGGAAGAATTATTTTATATCTTTTTTAAAAGTGCACCAGAGAAATAACCCAAGTGTCCATCAACAAACAAATAGATAAACAAAATGTGGTATATCCACACAATGGGATGCTATGCAGCCATAAAAAGGAATGATATTCTGACACATGCTGCAACGTGAATGAACCCTGAGGACACTGTGCTAAGTGAAAGAAGTCGGACACAAAAGGACAAATATTATATAATTCCATTTATATCAAATATCAAGAATAGGCAAATTCTAGAGACAAAGTAGATTACAGGTTATGAGTGGCTGAAGGGCAGAGAGAATGGGGAGTATACTGAACAGGTAGAGTTCCTTTTGGGGTGATGAAAAGTTTTGGAAATAGGTAGTGGTGATGGTCACGCAAAACTGAATATGATTGATGCCACTACATGGTACACTTAAAATTGGTTAAAATGGCAAATTTTATGTGATATATATACTGTAGGTATGTATTTTACTACGATATAAATAAATAAGCAAATGGAGGGAAAAGTGCATCCAAGAAATTCTGAATTAGGAAGTGGGGAGAAACGCAGAAACCAGCAGAGGAATGCCTAGGTGGGGTCTGGTCCTCCAACCTACTTTAACCACAGGAGCTGCACTTTGATTCATTTTATGGACTGGCCTTCCCTGGAAGACAGGGCTAACTGATGGTGATAGAAGCCAACCTAGTGCTTTCCTTGGGGAAGGGGTACTGCCTGGGGAGGGGCATGGTGAAACCCTTTAGGGTTCAGAAAATGCTCTATATCTTGATGTGGGTGGTCTTTACGTGGGTGTATCCATATGTAAAAAGTCACGGAGAGGTACGCTTACATTATGCACTTTACGGTTTATATGTCATACCTAATTTAAAAAGTACTTTCAAACAAAAAACACCTGCCCTTAGAGCAAAATGAGCACTACATATTTATCTCCTACGTTACCAAAATGTGCTTGGAAACACACAAGCAAACCTTTGTAAGTAAAACATTTTAAATACTGCAAGGAAATTCACTATTTGAAGAAACTTTTTTGTGAATCCTTTTGTAAACACAAATTTGGGTTTTTTTATTTACAAAACCTGAATACATCAAGTTGGGTTTCTTAAACTAAGATTTTTTTACTCAGATTTTCCTGAAGGATTCTCACCCATGTATCAGTGCTGGGGGAGGGGTGTGGAGAGAGCAGGAAATGATACAAACAGCGGAAGGCCGGGCCTCTGCCCAAGTAGAGAACAGCCATTGCTCGTGTGGACTGGTTAATTTTCTGGCTGTTGACAGACCAGCCTATGCACCCTGCCAGTCACTCTTCCTGTCACTGAGAGCAGATAGATTTGACCCACGTAGAGGTACCCACCACGTCTCTTTCGCCTTTGTCCTATTGCCATGGGAGCCACTCACCAGGTGGCACAAAGCAGAGGAGGAGAGGGGAGACTCATGCTGCCCTGGGCGTGACTTCAGGGCTTTGTGACCATGAGGAAGCTGGAGAGACAATTCCATTCTCAAACTAATTCACTCAAGTAACCAATCATTGATCGGAAGATATTCATTTGATAACTTTTATTATTTTTCTGACAATAGAGATACTATACATTACTGTAACAATTTTATAAAATATAGAAAACACATGTAAAAGAAAATTAAGCAATCCATAAGCCACCCACCCAGAGATAGCCACCACTAACCTTCTTTTATACCTCTGTAAGAGAGTAATTAAGTGGCCCACTTCCCAGATTGGTTTTCAAATCCCACTGTGCCCAGCTGAGCCCTCCTCAGAGACTCAAGATGGTAGATAAATAGAATGTTACCACTTTTGGAAATCTTCATTTTAATCCCATTCACGAAGTATAGATGGTCCCAGGATTTTTGTCCCAAAGGGGCATGATTTCACATGCGCGTGCACATACACGCGCGCACACACACACACACATTCTCTCTCTCCCTCTCCTCCACTGGCCTCAAGAGGGGACCAGCAGGCAGGCACCAGCCTCTGGTTCACAGCAGAGCCTGGCAGAGCGGGCAGCGGGATAAACACACACTCCTCCCTCCTCAGGTAAACAAGACTTAGTGTGCACTTATTTACAGTAAATGAATCTAAGCTTGGATTGCTCTTTCTGCCAGCATTTTGTCGCTGGGATCCTTCAGGTGCACACTGTGATACACATTAGGGGCGAGGAGAGGGGCATCTGATGGCAGCAAGGCAGGAGGGCGCATCAGATCAGACCCTGCTCCCAAGAAGCTCACCAGCACGGGAGCACAGACGGGAGGCCCAGCAGACAGGAGGAGGAGGGCAGGGGACAGGGCAGGGGCTGAGGGAGAGGATATGCAGCTTAGCGCCCCACAAGGGAATTCATTTTACCTTAATTTTTGCTTCTTATTTTTTCACACCCCTGAGAGCAGTGAGTTCTTTCTGTATGAACTATTTTTAAACTTGATTAGAGGATCCTCTGAATCTGTTAGGGAAGCGGCTGGGTTGGCATGAAAATGTTACTTGTTGTGGCT